GGGAAAGAGGGTGCTCTGGGACTTGGTCACTGTTTGATCTGTGGCATGAATGTATGTTTGTGCCACTGTACATCTGGGTGTGTAGGTGCTCTATTTTTTTTATTTTATTTTTTATAATTATTCAGTGCTTAGTGCACTTTGGTGCTAAAAAAATAAATTACTTCTGGCCAAAAGGCCCTGTCTGATCCTCTAGCTGGGATGCCAACTTCCTCTTTAGTCCCCTCCTGCCAAGTTCTCAAGTTAGTTTGTTTTTTACCATATTGGAAAGTAGGTTCTATTCTCTAAAGCAGGATTGTTAAAGCACATGGGAACCCCTTCTGCAGATGTGTCTGATCTTCCAGAACAGATGAAGCAGGCCAGGGAGGGGTCTGTAAACTCAACACTGAAAGAGACTCGGATTTTGGCTTTTACTTTCTTTTTTACCGCAGTAACTGACTGCGTTAGACCCTGTTTCTAGCTCTCAGTTCGTAGAAGAAAGGTGACACCTCTCTCCCTTCCCTGCCTGATATTCCTGGATTTGGCAATGCTTGCCAGTCGCTCATGGGAAGGGGGGAAAAAAACCAATCATCTTGTTTTGGCTTTCCTTTGACTTGTGTTTGGTCTGTGAAGGGACAGTCCCACGTTCCTGCTTTCCATGTGTGTCCCAGAAGAGGCAGTCAGTTTGGAGACAGAGTTTTGCGCTGTGTGGGGCAGTGTGCGCTCCCCTGGGAACTGTGAAGCCCACAGGATCCTAGTGACAGGCTCAGTTGGTGCTGGGTCAGACTAGCTAAATGCATGCAAAGCAACAAGTGCAGGAATGAAGGTGTCACTCTGGGGGGCTGCAAAAGGCTCAGTCAAAATTAGCACTGGCATTTTCCTAGGGGGATCAGCCAACACATCAAACAAGCTGTAAATAGCAGTGACTTAATGAGGGCTTTAGTGTGGGGCCCTCTCAGCCCTTGTAGGATGAGTGAAAGAAACTGGGCTGCCTCTCATGTGGGAGCCTTTCACCATTATATCTCCAAGTAAAGTCGCTGCCAAGCACCAGAAATAAGTCACCTAAAAGCTGTTTTCATGGAAATGAGCCTGAACTCCTCTCTTACCTGAAGAAATGGTACGTGGAGAAGCCTTTATGTTGGTCGACCAGCCTGACCAGTTGATAGCTAATCCTCCCAGTGTTTTTTGGTCATTTGAGAAGTCCTGGCAAGCCAGCTGTAGGTCAGTGTTCCCCATCTCTCCCAAAGTGCTTCCTGTTCTAGGGAGAGTAACGTGTTCCAGCACCAGGGGAAATTTTCTTCACCTCTGTCCAAGCAAAATAGTTAGATTGAACATCTTCCTCATTCTTCCCTGGGTTTTTCCTAGGTTAATGCCTTGACTTTTCCCACATTTGAATCCTTGCACATGCACTTACCCCTACCTTGAGAAACCTGCCTGATTGTTTTTCTGCCATAGGCAGTCTCAGATGATCCATCTCGATCCTTTTGTAGCAAACCTTGGCAGGGCAGAGTGCTGTTGTGGGGCCCACTCTGAGAATCCCGAAGGTGGTGCAGTGGGATTCAGATCTGTGTCTTCTATGAGCCTGGGCTCTGCAAGGTCATTGCATCAGCCTCAGATAGCGCTGTAATGATGTTGCCGTGGGAACAGTAGCAAGATATGCTTCTCCTGAAATCATTTCTGGGCTTCCATGCTGTAAACGAGTTGTGTAGAGCCTTCTCTTTCCTGGTAACTCTCATTTAGAGGAGAATTTCCCTACCTTCACCCTCCAACCATTACTACATTTAATCTGTAGCACAACTCTGGTATTGCCCCAGAATCTTTCACACAACCCATTGTGTTTAAGTGATTTCTGGGATCTCTGAGGAAGAACACCATAGCTCTTCAGTGTGACTAGATAGGCCTGTGGGGGTTGGACATACAAGTTTGTCACTCTTCCCTTTTCCCCCTTCCTTCCCCCTTCTCTCCTCGGCCCGTATGTCCCCTGGTTGAGAGCTGCTGGCATAGGATGTCATTGAGTTTGCTGCATCCTGTTGGTGTGCTGCTGGCATCAGCATCAACAGAAACATCTGACCTGCATGTGGATGTGAGAGCAAGTGCTTTGTGGGGGAATGTGTGGTGTGTGTATATGAGGAGGAAGCGGGGGTGGGGAATGGGTAAGGAAGAAGTGAATGAAGAGGGCATGGGGGAGCTTGAAGGCTGCAGTGCCAAGCAGAGGAAGACGCTTGCTTGGAAGGGGAAGTTTGTTGAATTGCCTTGCTGTCCCTTTCTCCTCTTGCTGCCCCCTGTTCATGAGTGTTTAGAAATTAGGCCTTCATGCATGTTAACCACTGACTGCCAGACCTCAGGCATACTAGTGTGAGTGGATATACATCTCAGGAGCTCTGAGGTCTCTTCGGACAGGCAAAGAGGTAATCTTCTTGTTGTCTTTTCAGAGTTAGGTCTATAGTGCTCCAATCCTGGCTCCGTGCCAGGATTTGTCTCCAGTTGTAGAAAAGGATCTGTTCCTTTCAGCCTTATCCCAAGGCCTTTAACGTTGCAAGAGCTGCAGCTTCGTCTTTATCAGTGGAGGCAAATATCACTCCCGGTAGTTGACATTGCCCAGCCCTTTTGCAATATTCTATAACATTCCTTTTTCAGCTGTGTATACTTTTGCCAAACTTTAACGACTTTTGCTAAAGTATCCCCTGCCAGTATCTGTGTACTGCATGACTTAAGTTCATTAATTGCTTTTTGGGAAGCTGAATTTCACTCAAAATGAATCAACTGTTCCTGAGAATGTGGCCAGAAAACGGCTTTACTTTTTTCTATCCCTCTTGAAATTCTCTGGTAACCAGCTTTTTACTAAATCTCTAATGTCGCCATACTTTGAAAAACAGGCTTGACGCTTGCTTGGGGCACGCCCTTAGGGTAAGGCGTATGCCTTTTGCCGTTCCTGTGAAAGATCTGTCCAAATCTGGCAAAGTTATGAACCAACAAATGCCATTGGCACGTGCTCCTTGCATCTTAATTCCCTGAAAAATCCCTCCTGACTGTGTGTCAGAAACAGTCCTGGGAGAAGGACCAGCTGGGAAGGCAAGAGCAGAAGAGGTTTGTCACTGGGGAAAACAGGCTGATAAACTTTTCCATACTAGAGAACTCTTTTAATAGCCAAAATCTCACTGTTTTTTTGCTGTCTGGAGTTATCTGTGAAGCTTTTTGGCTATTTTGGCCCCTCTTTCAGCTTTACCAGTTTGTGCCATTACAGAGGAATATGATGTTCTGTTACTGCCTTAGCTCTGCATGGTGAATCTATTGATCACAACCCATGCGGGTGTCAGTGCACCACCTCACAAAGACATTTTTGTCTATACGTTTTTTAAAAAATAAATGAGCTGCACAAAATTCCTTTTCCCCTCTGCTCTTCCAGTATTAAAAGTCCATTACTTAATGCCAGGCACTTAAGTTAGAATCTACCAGAATTAAGGATGGTCTAGGTTATTTTCTGTATCTGATATAAGGTGTATTCATGCAGTTGGAATTTAGTAGCTTAGCCTGGTGCCCAGTAATCCTGCTGCAGTGTGTTGGGCTGCAAGTGACTCAGCAAAGATGCTTCTCAGAAGCTTATATAGACTTCAGATTTCTTGATCGCACACCTGGGTAGCAAAGCAAAGAGATAACAGAGGCTACTGACGTGTGCTGGTAAGCACAACTCCTCAGTTGAGGCCTGGCTCAAACTTTTTTCTCTCTCTCTCTCTGTCTCTCTGTCTCTCTCTCTTTTTCTCTCTCTTCTCTTCTCTTCAGTGATAGCACCCCAGTGAAAGCAAATAAAAGCCCTTCGCCTCCACCAGATGGATCCCCCATCACCAGCCCTGAGACCAAGACTGTCAACCATGAGTTGGAGCCGTCCTCTTTGGAAGCACCTGGGGCAAGCATCCCAAAGTCACCATCTCAGGTAGTGTCCCCTTGATGTTGACCATACCCCTGCAGTATGACCACTGATAGCAGAGGCTTCATTAGTCAAACATTTCCATCCCTTACTTGTTTTGATCTCTTTTGCTACTGAGCACAGAGAATATGAGATAACAGTTGTTCCCCATCAGTGGGGGCAAGCATGATGTTTCTGAGAATACGAGCTGCTCCTTGGTCCTCTCTATATCTTATAGGGAGGAACTAAGCTGTCTCTGAAATTCCTCTGTCGGGGCTGGAATATGACATGGGAGACCCAGTAATAATATATTTTGCTGTCTTGTAGGATCGCTAGGAGGAGTTAGGGAGGAGGATACGAGGCTAGGAAATTTGTTCTTTACATTTGAATTAACTTGTGTAATTCAGTGGTCCAGGTTCTTCCTGAGAACTTCCCTGATTCAGGAGGATATGAAGAAAACAGAAGTTTAATATTGGTATGGATAAGGAAAACAACTGTATTTTACATGATATGTTACTTTAATCCCAAGATAAAATATCCTGTAAAAGATAAAGGCATTCAATTCTTATGCTATGAAGAAATTAGGTGAATACTTGGAAGCAGATTCTCCATTACGGGGTTCTGATACCTTCTATGTGACCTTTGTTAATCCTTTCCTTACATTGGAGACACCCAGTGGCCTATTCAAAATAGAAAATGTAGCTGCTGCTACTCAACACATCACATAATATGTTTTGAGATTTGAGGAAAAGAAAACATTTGCTTCCTTTTCCCATCCCTCTGTTTCCCCAAGTAGGGGAAAACATAAGCAGGGACAAATAGTAACTGGGCCAAATTCATGTCTGGTGCCGGTCCTTGCATTTCAGTAAGCGGGACATCAGGGAGAAGTCTCCGGAAAGAATTAAAGCTGAGAGGAGTTCTGGCCAAGCTAGTAAGAAAATGCCTAGTAACTTCCAAAAAGGCATGGTTGCAACCCAGAACTTCCTTGCTGTTGTCACAGGTAACAGTGTGATTCGAAATCCAGGCCTGTGGTGTAGGCGTTCTCCTGGTTCTGGGTAGTCTTTCATGATATTTTTCTCTTAGCTGTATTTTTGATTTTTAGCAGGATCTGGGGACAAAAAAGTATGCTTGTATACTGGCAAAAGGGTCTTTCACATCACTGTGAGATATGTGGAAGCCTGGCAGTGTCTTTCCAGGACTTTTTTAGGGGTGTCTGCACTGCTCAGCATTGCACAGTGTAGAGCAGCTTCCCCACAGCCCTGGCTAGGACCTTTGGAATAACGTATTAGAGAGGATAGTGTACACGCTTGTATCTTCCCAGGACTGCCTTCATATTTTTTCAGACATCTCTACTTCTTGATAAAAATTTGGATCAAGAAGTTGTACAGATTTATTGAGCCTTTCACTGAAGACTTCACTCACCCCATCTGTGGACTTGTCTTGCTGAGTGTGGCTTCTTCTCTTTCCTTTAAATAGCACGCATTAGTCTTATTTTTTGCCAGGCTGCAAGTGCTTGCTTACTGATTGCTGCCTTGCTGGCCACAGGAATTGAGGTTGGAGGCACCCCCTTTTTAAGCAAGCAGAATATTCAAGCAGTGCCCTATCTGTAGCATTAGATGGGCCAAAGGCAAGACTTAAATGGAATTTGCAGCTAGTGCTGCCACCGTCTGGCATCTCTTTTCCAGTCTGTATTAATTAGCTTTCCTAGGCCTCGCTACAGTGAAGAACAGGAGATTGACTGCATATCTCACTAGGTGCTGAGACGCAGAGCTGGCTCCAGAGGGAGGGATGGCAAGAAGAGGGGTTTCATCCTTAAAGCTAAGCCTGGTGTCCATATGGACAAAATCTTGAAGCTCAGTGCGTGTCAGCTTGCCAGCCAGCTGGAAAGCCCGAGGGTCTACTCTGTCAACATACTCATAGTTCAAAAGTAATGCTATCCATTAAGTCACTTACTCAACTGAAAGCTTTTTCTAGGGTGGTGAGGATGGAGCAAAAATATAGTTCAAAAGTAATGCTATCCATAAAGCTTTCAGTTGAGTAAGTGACTTATTCTAGGGTGGTGAGGATGGAGCAAAAAGCAATGAGCAAGTGCAGTTCTCTGGCTGTTTCCTTTGTGTCTGATGTACCAATGCAAACACTAAGCAGAGGCTGTGGAGAGAAAGACAGCAAAACAAGAGAGACCAAATAAGCGTTAACTCGATTTTTAACTATTGCCCATGCCAACTGTAGGTCTTTCACTCCTGCTGTCCTTTAATTCTCAAAACCAGCTTATTTCTGTCTTTTGGGAGAAGCAACTGCTAGCAGCTCTTCGTGCTGAATAATCTAATAGTGGCGCAGGACTTCCTGGGTCTATGGAATTTCAAAGGTCAGACTTTTGCTCTCAGTTACACCAGTGAAACACTAATGACACTTCTGAAATCAGCTCAACTGTGCTGAGTTTAGACAGATAAAGCCCTGTGGGGTCTAAGAACAGCAGCAAGAATTTAGGGGATTCATTTTATTCTAGGCAGTAAAGTTGTTCTTGATGCTTAGTCTGTTTCTGGATATAACTCAATGGCCCATATGCAGTCCTGTTGTCTTTGAGATGTGGTATTAGACTGCTGTTGGAGATGTGCTGGACATTATGGAAGTGGTGACCTCCAAGACACTAATGCATAGGAGAGGACTGAGTATTTTAGAGAAGGCAATAGCAAAAGGGTCAGGATCTTTTTGGCTTAGAGTTTATAATGGAGCCTCCCATTTCTGCAGATGGTGGCAGAGTTCTGAGAACAGCTTTTCCCTGAATTTTCTGATCCCTCCTGCAACTGACAGGCAGGAGATGTTTTGGGAAAGGATTGTTCTTGGTGGATACGAACGCACCACCTTCTGTAAAAGGTAAAAAGCTGGAAGGGAAAACACTACTGTCATTATTTCCCCTAGCCAGCTATTTAGTAGAAAATGTGCGTTTTTCAGTCTCATTGACACTCTGAAGTAGATTACCCATTAGAAAACTGGGTATATTTGTAGCAATCTAAAATGAATGCCTTGTAGAGGTCAGTTATATGCTGGAGGAATGTCAACACAGGACTAGGAGTTGGGGGACTCCTGTGTTGGGATTAGGCCTGATGATGATGTACTGGGTGCCCATTGTCAGTACGCTCTTTCTTTCTGCTTGTGTCTTTTCTGCTTTTGAATTCCAAGTACAATGAGAAGATCAAGTAATTGTAAAAAACACTGCAAACTGAAAGCTTTGTCATTCCTGAGCGCTGCTATGGCGCTGGAGCTTGTATGTCTGTTTTGTTCCAAGATAGTAGCAGCTTCTTGAAGTTTGATTTGATCTAGAAATGAGTGATGAGCCTTGCACACAGAAAAATGTGAAGAGGATATGGATGGGTTGGCCTGCCCTTCAGGAAGGGTGATTTGCCACAGCAGTATTTTCAGCATTATAGGAGGTATTAGGATGGATTAGAGTCACATGGTTGGACTTTGCTATTCCTTCTCTGGGCTCTACATTGGAGAAACACTTGTGACTTCATTAGTGTCAGTGCTATCCCTTGTTGGTGAGACTGAGAGCAGAGTTGGGCCGACAGCAGCCGTGGCTTCTCAGGAGTTTGAATTGTTCTTACCCAAAACTGAGAAGCGGGTAAGGCTCCCCGAGGAGCTCCTTCTGACCCTTCTTTCAGTACATTGATACCTGGAAACCAGATCGGAATCTGGCCGTGTGGGCATCTATCCATAACAGGACAAATTAAGTCTTGTCTCTCGTTCCCTTAGATCTGGTAAGTATGGCAAAGGGAGGCAGTGCTGGTCTGGTCTATTGAATTGCATTCCCAGTAACTGATGTGCTCCTTTCCCAGTGTTTCTCTGGAAGGTTGCACATGCTCTAATTATGTATGCATGTCCTGTAAATGCATATTAATTGTGTTACGCTTCTCCTCCACAGAGAGAGAGACTTGCCCACAGCTGAAGTGTAACTAATGATGCCAAACCTTCTCTGGAGGCGTGTGGTTGTTTCTGTTTTGCTTCGTTCCGCCCTTCACACTCCCTCCCTTTTTCTCCAGATGGAGTTGATTGGACCCTTCTCTATGTCTGTTTGTGATTTCTCCCACCTTCAGTTTTTGTGGCTAACCTGGTTCCTGTCTTTGGTTTTTTTGGGTGTCGTCGTCTGTGCTGTGGCCGTGTGCTCACTTGCATGCAGCTGAGAAAAGGGCCTCCGGTGCCTCCGCCTCCAAAAGTCACCCCTTCCAAGGAGATCAAGCAGGAGAACATCATCAGTCTGTTTGATGACAATTTTGTCCCTGAGATAAGTGTGACAACCCCCTCGCAGGTTAGCTGCTATGCCCTGCCTTACATTTGTCTGCCTCTGAACTTCTTCCTTTGACCTTTCTTCTCTTTGGAGGTGTCATGCCATGAAACCTGGTCAGGCAAGGGGGGAAGGGAAGGTCAATATTGGGCCTCAGATGACAGAGGGATAGGAAGCCGTCTTAGAGGAGAGGGTGGCTAGAAAGCAGCTTCAACCAGTGTGCTGCCCCTTGAGAGCTTTCATGTATAGAAGAAACGGGAGGAGCACAACTGGTGAAGAAGCCACTGAATTATCACTGTCTGTTCAGCAAGCAGGTTAAATAATACAAAGTTTATGGCTCCCCTTGCATCCCTTATCTCCAGCCTTTCCGATCCTGGGTGTAGGTGAAGGATATGTTCTCTGCTATTGTACATCCCTAAGTGCTGATACTGGCATCTCTCCCAGTTCCGGGTGAAGGCACCTTTGCACTCTCAATGCATTTACACATGGGCTTTGTGGCAACTTGCAAAGCCTAAACTTGTGCAGGAAAGGCCAACAGGAATTGCATGCGTTTCTCTTTGCCGAGAATAAGTGGGCCAGATTTAGGTAGGCAAGGCTGTGCCTGTTGTGAATTCAGGACTCGTGACATCTCAGTCTGTCGCTCTTTGTCAGCCAAGAGTTCCCATTAGAATGTGTCTTTCCAGTGATGTGGCATATTTTGAAGCCCTGAAAATGGAATAACAGTTTCAAGTAATAGGTTTTCCTCTTCTCTTTCCTTTTGATTTATATCACTGCAGGAGAGGATATCCGGGTGGGGAATTCTGTGTTGGACCCATGAGAATGACAGCCCTTATGTATATAGGAGTCTGACCAGTTTTCTGGCTGCATCATGAGATACCTGCATTTTTTTTAAATGCATACATATATATGTATATATATTTCCTAAATGCTTAAAGCACAAGTAATGCCCTTTGACTCATTCCGTAACTTTTCCATGTGTCATGCTACTCCGTTGCCTCTGGTTTGCCACCTTCTACCCAGCTGCTGAGGTGCAGAGATGGAGTGGGGAGGGAAGGAAATCTGTGTCAAAGTTTGCATGGCAGTAGTCAAAGTTGGCAGACCAGAGAGATGATTGGACAGCAGTGTTGGAAGAGGGGGAACCACAGGCAGCTGAGCAACTCTGCTGTTCTCTATACTTCTTTCTCCTGTATCATAATGGATGGCTCTGTCTGCCCCATGGTTTATATCATGTGTTTCCATGCGAACACCTGCCCTTAGCCAGACTTCCTCTTCTGCATCTGATCAACGCCCTGGCCCCGGGTGGGATCTGCTGTGACATTCAAACAGATGGGATTTCTGAGGGAGAACTGTTCTTGCCAAAACAACCTTCACTGGAGCAGCCAACAGCCATTAGCATTCAGTGCATTGGTCAGGGCTGTTCCTGTCAGATGTCTTGGCTCCAATAAGCTGTCTTGTGGGAGAGCTGAGTAAAAGTAAGGGATGCTAGCCCCTGCATATAGGTCTTAAATGGCAGGTAAGAGGTCTTCCATGGCCGGAACCTTTGGTGTCCCCCCGCCAAGAAGTGTAAGGATTGGGATGGAACCTCTCTGGAGGCCTGGAGGTACTGGAAGAGTATACTGGAATACCAATGGGTTTTAGATTACTAGCCAGGGATGATTTTATATATATATAATATTAT